TTATTATTATTATTATTATTATTATTATTATTATTATTATTATGATATTAATAATAATTATTATGCTCTGCTTTATTTGGGGGTTTTGTGCTTTCTAAACCTTTTCTAGGGGAAAACAAGGGTGATTTGCTGTGGCCCCAGCCCACAGCTTTCCCTGGGAGCAGCATCTCCCGGAGCAGCAGGTGTTTGGTGAGGGGACAGAGGGGACCCTGCTGTTCTCACCGTCGGGGATGTGCAGCACCAGCCAGCCTTGCCTGGAGCAGAAGTGAACCACGTGGCACAGGGTCATGGTCTTCCCTGTTCCCCTCTCACCATCTCCAACAGGCACTGTCAAGGAAAGTCTCTAAAAACCACTTCAGCTCACACCTCGTGCTCGTTTTTTCCAGGAAAGGCACTAAGGGGAGTCCAGATTTTGTCAAAGCAAGGGTGACATTCCATCCAGCAACAGGATGGGGCTCCTTCCCCCTGCATCCCACCCCGCTGGGCAGAGCTGAGGAGCCCCCTCCCCTCAGGAGTGCTGCCAGCCCTCTGCAGGGAGGGATGTGCCACGAGCCAAACCGGGGCAGAGGAAAGGTCTCCAAGCCCCAAACTTCCCGAGGTGCTCGGAGCCGCCGCCCTGAGCACAGCCCACGGGGCAGAACCAGCTCCTGGAGGCTCAGCCCGGCCCAGAACATCACCCTCCCTGCACAGACAGCTTGGGTTTCACCTGCATTCCCCCCTCAGGGGGTGGCCAAGGATACAGATGACGTATCTGACCACGGGCTGGGCGAGGTTGGTGCCCCTCAGGTAGGCGAAGAGCTCGAGCGCCGGCCTGCGCACCATCACACAGGCCTCGTTGAAGGTCTGGATCTGAGGACAGGAGCAGAGAGGGACCGAGCTGCTGCTGCTGCTGGCCGAGCACAGCTGCTCCCAGCTCTGCCCCATCGCTGCCTGGGGGCTCTGGACACCCCCAGCTCTGCCCTCCCTGCCCGGGTGTCAGGTCGGTCGAGCCGGTGAAGCTGCGCTGCTTCCCAGGGACCTTCCCGTCCTTTCCGTGCCTGGAAACCCTTCCCAGGATTAGCTGCTCCATCCTCTGACAGACTGAGGTGCAGCCAAGCAGCCTGTCCATGAATCCAGAGCCAAGGGATGCCCCCAGTAAGGAATCTGCTCCCAGCTCACAGAGCCCGGCGCGGCTCCATCTGTCTCACCACAGAAATCAAGGCACCGGGGTTTTTTTGTTGCCCCCATAAACCTGATTTCATCAGACAGCCTCTTTCACACTGAAATATAACCGTGGCAAACATTTCTGTAATTCAGCAGGTGCTGGGGAGTCAGGAATGGAAAATATGGGAATGAATGTTGCCCGAGGTGGGATCCTGGAACTCTGCAGCCTCTCCTCCGGGTGGGCTGACTCATCCCTTTTAGGTGTTGGAAATAACAGTCAGGACCAGGGATAACTGCACTCCTGCAGCAGGTCATCCCTCTTATTCCAACAGGGGAGCATTGTAGCTGCCAAAGGATCTGGTTCTTCCCACAGAGAATCAGGGAATGGTTTGGAAGGGACCTTAAAGATCATCTTGTTCCGACCCCCTGCCGTGGAAAGGGACACCTCCCACCAGCCCAGGGTGCTCCAAGCCCTGTCCAGCCTGGGCTTGGACCCTTCCAGGGATGGGGCAGCCCCAGGACCCTCCCTCCAGAGCTGCTCCAAGCTGGAGTACCTGCTGCTGGAAGCGGTAGGGGAGCCCATGTGGGAACACGGCCTTCACCTCCTCCAGGGGGATGTTGTAGTGCCGACCCTCGTGCTGCTCCGTGTGCTTGGCCTGGCAGGGGAGAAGGGGAACTGTCACACTCTGGCCCGGACAGAGAAGGGAGGATGGAACAGAGAGGGAACACTCAGTCAATCCCAGCAGTCCCCACTCACTGGGATCAGAGCACAAAGCAGGAATTGTGGGGTCAGGACACTGCTGGGAGGTGCTTTGGAAGAGCCAAAAGAAAGGAGCTCCCACCTGGCACTGAACAATGAAGGGATTCCCTGAGCTCCTGTAGGAACCTCCATGGATTCATCTCACCTTCCATCAGTCCTTCTGGTCCCCCCAAACCTCCACAGCAGCTCTGGAGTTCCCTGTGGAGCCCCCTTTACTTTTTTTTGGTGACAAAACGATGTTTTCTGCCTCGTGCTGCTGTGCCTCAGCAGCAACTCCCAAGGTGCCACTTGGTCACTGCTGTTGGAGGCTTAAAAAAACCTCCCAGTCTCTTTCCTGGGGCAATAATTTCCAGTCCCTTGCTGTGACCTCAATGATCAGGGTTATTCCTGCACCAGCCCTGAATCCTTCTGCATTTATGTCTAGTGAATACCTGCAGATCTGACTGTGCATTACAAGAAGGTGTTGCTACCGAAATATGAAAATTTAATACCTATTTCATGCCTTGTTTTTCCCTTTATTGTCTTTTCCTGCCATGCAATACCTGCAAAGCACTTATTTATTTCCTCTTGTTCTAGTCATCAGATTTTGGATTAGTCTAATCAGTCTAATTAGGACAGCATATACAGGACATTTTATATATATATATATATATAATATATATATTCTGCAGCCCTTCTTGTGTGACTTCCAGCAGTTTGGTGCCAAGCTTTGAAGCTTCTACCATGTCCTGCTTTCTGCACTGTTCCATGGATTTAAAGTAAAAAAATCCTCCTCTTCATTCTTGTGCATGTCAGTCTCTTTTCCTTATATATATATATATATAAATATATATATATATATATAAAACCAACAAATATAACAACTTCCCTGTTTTCTTTCTTTTTGAGCAGCTGGGTCTGGTGTGATTAGTGCCTGTTTGGCCAGGAATATTTGTCTTTTCCCAGTTCTTGACGGATCCTTCACGTGCCACTGCTGCAGCGCTGCCACACACCCAGGAATTCTTGTTTTTAAGTGTCCCTTCCCTTCTCCAGACCAGATTTCAGCACAGGGCACTCCTGTTCTCTCACCTTCTGCCCCCTCCTGCTCCCCATTCCACGCCTGGCTGAGGGCAGGCGTTCCCAGGGCAGGTCAGGGTGTCCTGGGCTCCGTGGTTTTCCCTGGCACAGCCGTGGGATTCCAGAACTCCCAGCTTTGGCCAGAGGAAGAAACCACTTGGTAACTCCAGCAAACCACTGGGCTGCTGGAGCTGCCAAACTGGTGCCTGCTGGTCAGGAGGAAACCTTTGCACCAGGAAGGGTGATTTCAAATCCTGGCTTTCCAAGAGGTGCCCTGCTGCAGGGAGGGGTCACTCGGGGAGATCTGGGAACTGGGACTCCAATCTTTTCCCCATCAGAGCTCATTTCAAACTCTGGGCTCCCTGGGGTTTTCCTGCACGTGTTGGACACAGATTAACTGTGTTTTTTTCATGGCAGTGTCACCTTTGGGCTCAAACAGTGGACTCCAGAGCCCGTTTCCGCTCTCAGCTTCATCCCTGACTTGCTGCATAACTTCAGGCGAATTCCCTCCCTCTGCAAAGTGGGTCACGGTGTCTCTGCCCCCACCTTCAGTCGCTCTGAGCTTTGCTAATGGAAAGGTACAGAAAAGCCACATCCTGTGAAAAATTTCGTGTTCTTCTGGCCTTCTCAATCCATTTTTCATGGGCCTTCCTGGGGTGCAGGTTTGCTGCTGGAGCCACCCAGGGAGCCCCGGGAAGGTCGAGCCGACAGAGCAGGACGCGGTGGCCGCCACCAAAAGCCACCAAAACCCCGGGCACATCCAGCCAGAATGCCAAAGCCAGTTGCCTGGCAACGTGAAAGGCAGGCACAGGACAGAGGGGGGACAATCGCTGCCATCTGGACTCTGCTGTGCAATCCATAGACTCGGGGTCACGTGCGGCAGGATCATCTCCCCGCTGCCGTTTCCATAGAGACCCCGGAGGAATCGGCACCGAGAGGCTCCAATTACAGAGGCAGCAGAAAAGCACCTCAAAGGCTCCTTCCATTCCTTTATTCCACTCCATTTTGCATCCCGAGACGGGGAGTGTGAGGCTGGAATTGTGATGCTGCGGGGCTGTGCCGGGCTGAGGGTCGTGGGGGCTCGGGGGGTTTTATCCCCTTCGTGGCCAATTCGGGGAGGTTGGTCAGGGAGGAACAACCCTGGAGTTGGAATTAATGGTGTCATCAGACACATCTGAGCTTCTGCAAAATCCAGATGAAGCTCACATGTATGAGCTTCCTCTGTGCAGCTCTAGAGAAAGGAATCAATGCTCGTTCCCAGGGGCTTTCGGGCAGAGCAGCCCCGCCCTGCCCTGCACAGCCACGGCCGTTCCCGTGGGATTGCATCCCTGGTTTAGGGCTGTGTACCTCCTTCTCTGAAACAATAACAATCTCCATCAGCATTCCTGGCCCCAGCACATCCCGGTGGCACCCAGGCCTGGCTGTGTGACAGGGACAGGGGTGTCACACAGGGGACTCACCGGGTCGCTCTCGCTGGTGTGGAAAACCGCTCGGGGCCTCTGCGGGGTCGGGACATCCTGGCTGGCAACGGAGCTCAGGCACTCCTTGGCTGCTGTGGGGAGGCCATAGCCCTGCTCCAGCTAAGGGAAAAACAAGGCAAACACACAACAAACCTCTCAGCAGCCAAGGATTAGCGGGAAGAAAAACACCCAGTGGGTTTGTTTTGTACGCTCGTGGCACGGCACGTGCCAGCCAGAACTGAACTCTAATTGCAATTAGAACGAGAGCTCATCATTAGCATGTCAACTCATTACGAAAACATCACGCTGTAGAACCAGATTTCACATTTAGATACCTGCACCTAAACCATTCCCACCTGAACTCACCTCAGCTGAGACAAGCCCTGCCCCCGAGTTCTTCCCTGCAAGATTCCTTAAGATTCCCAAGTCCAGCTGTCGAGGCCCCACTGCTGGGAAGTGCCCACCACGTTTCTGCCCCTCCTGAGGAATGGTAGTTAGCACCTCAGAAACTCAGGCTGTCTGGTAATCCATAATCACCTCAATTACTGAGGGATTAGTGCAGCTCTGCCCACTATTTGATGTTTATAATTACACTCCCCTGCACTGATTTCCCTGTGTCCCTGCATCCAGGCTCTGCCATTAGAGAAACCAAAACAGCCAGCTAAGCTGATTAATTCATTTCTGCCCAGACAGGCTGCTGAATCCTGCCCGGGCAGCCCAGCCAAAACAGGCAGGAGAGGGAGCAGTGGCAGCACAAGCATTTTATTCTGTGGTGGTGAAAGCAAACACAGGCATTTGTCACTGATTTGGAAAGTGCATCCTCCAGAGAGGCTCAGGGAGGAGCTGAGCCCCTCTCAGCACTGACAGGGACACTTCCAGCTGAACACAGAGCCAGCAGTTTCCCTGTTCTGTCTGTCCACAGGGGAGCAGCAGGAACCAGAGCTCAGAGCCAGGGCCAGCTGCCTCAGCTCTCCATGGCATGACACAGCTCTGCTGCCACCCCAGTGCTCCCACAAGGGCTCAGGAGAAGGTGGGATTGCCCCACATTCCGTGCCCAGCACACACTGGACTCCTGAGTCAGCATTTCAGCACTTGCTGTCCTGGGGGGGAAGGAATTAAACCAGTTTGGAGCCCACAGCAGATCCCTCAGGGACAAAGTGCTGCAGTGGGAATGGGGAGATCACCCAACAGCCACTGGAGTCATCACTCTCTTCCCTTGTTCCCACATTTCCTCCCCAAATCCAAATGATCACTCGGGATGGTTCATTTGGCTACTTTTAGCCCAAAGTCCACAGAAGTGACCATTTACAGCCCAGAGCAAGGCCCAAAGATGTCAATTTAACACAGGAACAACTGGAGCAGGCAACTCTTGGCACCTGTTCACCCAGAAAACGTCAGCCCTAAGCCATTCCCAGCCTGGAATCACAGTCCTCCTCACTCTCCTTGAGCAGGTTGCCCAGAGAAGCTGTGGCTGCCCCATCCCTGAAGTGTCCAAGGCCAGGCTGGACGGGGCTTGGAGCAACCTGGGACAGTGGAAGGTGCCCCTGCCCATGGCAGGGGGTGGCACTGGGTGAGCTTCCAGGTCCCCTCCAACCCAGACCATTCCATGACTCCATGATCCCACATTCCCTCCTTCCCAAGGCTCAGGTGAGGCTCTGGGGCTGTAAGACCCCCTTCCCAGGAGTCCCACCCAGATCCTTGTCCCTGAGCTGTGCAGCCACGAAGGGAACCGAAGCAAGGATTCACCTCTTGCTTGGTGCTGAGTTTTTAAGTGTGTCCTCACACAGCCTTTGGCTGAACGATGTTCCCCCAAACCAGCATCCCCAGGTATCAGGTTTTAGAAAGCCCAGTCTCAGAGCAGGACCTGGAATCTCTACGGGACACAACCCAGTTCCCAGCCAGTTCTCTAAGGGAGTGGAATTCAGGATGATTGACAGTGTGAGGAGGACTTTGCCTTGAAGTTCAGTCCTCTGGTTCTGCAACCAAAACACATCAAATTTCTACTTTTCCATCAACAGAGCAAATCCCATCCCTGAATGACTCCACCTTTCTCCTGGAAGGACACTGGTTTATAGTGTCACTTGGAGCTTTAACAGGTCTTTCCCAAAACCTCTGTGTGGCCTTCAGAACTTTCCCTTCGTGGGCTGTGGCTCCAGAAGCAGCTTCCAAGAACCTGGAGACAGGGAATCCTTCACCTCTCCAGTGCTACCAAGTGAACACAAGCTCCTGGAGCCGTGAGCAGGATCCTGCTCACGGTTATCCCAAGTTTCAGAGGCACAGAGAGATTTCAGAGACACAGATTACCTGTGACTTACAAAATCCATGCAGGAATGTGCGGATATTTAACAGGCTGCAAGAAGACCTTCAAGTGACCCAGAACAGCCCTGGCAAAACACTACATATTCTGATTTTAGAGCAGCAACACAGTCCCTCCTCTTTGACAAACAGCTCATCACTGATCCCTGGAATGCCAGAAGCACCCCCGGTCCTCCCTGCCTCCTCTGCACAGCAAATCCCAGCACGTTCCTCAGCTCCCTTAAAGCTGTTTATCCCGGGAGTGGGTTTCTGAGGGCGAGTTTCCATCTGCCAGAGGACACGGGAGTCTCCTGACGGGGATCCCTGAAATGGCAGCGGAGCATCACGTGGTGCCCGGGGATTTATCCGGAGCCTGGAGCCCGTGAGGTGGAGCTGTTCCCGCACGTTCCACGGGATCCCGGGCTCCGGGAAGGGCCGGCTGTGCCCTGCAGGATGCTGTTCCCTGCAGGATGCTGTTCCCACACGGGATCCCGGGCTCTGGGAAGGGCCGGCTGTTCCCTGCAGGATGCCGTGGGCAAGTAGAGCAGCAAACCAACCGACTGGAGCTCCTTCCCCCCGGGAAGCCCTTCCAGACATCCCTTGGGCTGAACGATGTTCCCTCAAACCAACACCACCAAGTGTCACGTTTTAGGAAGCCCGGTCTCAGATCAGGACCTGGAATCTCTACGGGCCACGAGCCAGTTCCCACCGAGTTCCCTAAGGGAGTGGAATTCCGGAATTCCAGGAGTGGAACTCCCGGCGGGGGAAGGAAGCTCTCCCGGGATCCCAGGGCTGCTCCGAGCCGGGGCACAGCTGATTTTAACACGCTGGTAAAAGCACTGAGCTGCTTTTAGGCTCAGAAAATGAAAAAGGGGAAAGGTTCTGTCCCCAGACAGGCTCCCCAGGTCCCAGCCCCGAGGCTGCCAGAGCTCCAGGGGCGCTTGGACAACGCCCTCAGATGATAAATATAAGAAAACTCTCGTTTTTTACAGCTGTAAATGGCCATTCCAGGCCGTGGGACAGCTGAAATATTGGGAATACCACGAGGCTCTCACAGGACTCACCTTCAGCGAGCGGCAGGCCAGTCCTTTCAGGCTTCTCAGCATTTTTCTGCAGGGACACAAGTGGATATTTTAGGGGTTTTTTTATTGTGCTTAATGTACCTTATGCTGGGAGAGAATAGTTCCATGTCAAGGCACACAAATAACTCAGGCCAAGGGTCAGATGCTCTGCAGCCATCCAGGGGTCAGCATCGTTTGCCTGATAAAAACCATCCCATTAATTACACGGCCCTTTCTTCAGAAATGCATTTGCACAAAAAAAAACCCTCCTCAGTTTCTAAATCAAGGTATTTCCCTTTTTTTCCAGAAATACAGTTACCAAAAAAAAAAAACCAACCCTTAATTT